TAGAGACAGCTGGAAGACGAGCCACGAAAATCCAGATTTCAACAATGTAGTCATACTTGCTCATATAATACAATGAAACTTGGATTTCACTAAGTCCCATGAGTGATGACTGATGAGCAATAATTTGTGTATTATAGAKAAATTCGTTAAAATAAATGTTATTCCAATTTGGTTTGGTTTTTAGAAATATTTCGTGAAACAAAAAACTTGTTTCACGGAAGTTGGTTATGTTATTACGAAATATTCACTGAGATCTCCGTTAGTGATATGTGAGATATGGAAATTCGAGAGATCAGTCACTTAGACATATTTTTCAGATGTGGCAAGACATAGTTTTGGCCAGTCATCCAACACCAAAAAAAATTGTACCTGTTGATATATATGTTATGATCAAAATATTAACTAATTTAAGTTGGTTTAAAATTTAATTTACTCAAGCACCGAAACCCATTCCCTACAAAGTCTTTAAATGTATGGCTGTTGTGTATGTGCTGGACGTCACTACGGTCTGCTAAAGATCATAWTATAATAAACCACTTTGTTCGAAATAAACGATTTTGTTAGAGGAGCTATTCRGTTTGAATAATGTTTTAGTATACGTTATGACATTGTGTTTAGTTACCTACCTATAGTGTTTTGTCGCAGTATCGACTTTTAACTGTCGATCAGGGACAATCGTTTATATTATTTTTGTATAATAGTATGCTCAGTACTCGGTTTAGAACCGACGAAAAAAAAACAGAATCAAATGTTATAGTTACTTAATGAATTATTCATGATATATCCTTCGTAGTTTTATAGGAGCTATATAAATGTGTTTTCTTGTCGCGAAATAAATTATAGATAATAATCTATACATGACATTTTGTGTTATGTTCGAAGTTGCAGTCTTCGTATGATTCGCTGCAAGTACATGCATATTATATATTTTTTCTAATATCACATACACCAGTATTATAAGAGTAAGAACTGTGAACAATAATTGCTACACTTTACAACATATAATATTAAACAAACACCGACCCACCTTTTCAACAAGCGAAAAATGACTATGAAAACGCGTTCAGTCGAATACGGAAAACGGCCCAGAGACAGCTGGACGCCGGGCTATAAAACACCGGGTGCAATCGTACTCGCTATTATAATCTCCGTCTCAGGGACGCGTGATGTGTGAAAAATAGAATTTGAGGTATTATATTGTAATATAAATCGTTGTGTTCGAAAAGGTT